ATACTACTCCAGCGTCAGTATCATCCCAGCCATCGTCACAGACAGTACCCCATTCTCCATTAACGTATACTTCAACACGTCCTTCATAATCGTGAGATCCCCCAACAAGACGCAAGGACTCTGAAAATTAAAAAATAATAATAAAGATACAAAAGGTGTGATCTATACTTACGTATACAAACCACTCCAACATCTTCTGAGTGACCACAGTTATGATTGCTGGTGTAAGAACAGCTGGTAATGTTTAGTTCTGATCCAGTACAGGACACATCGTCCATCAGAATCGACCCTGTACCCCGTCCAAAATAGGCAGAGCCTCTAGCTGTCCCTCCTATTAATAAAGAATTAAACATTAATTAGAAGTCATGAACTATAGTACGGGATATTTTGGAAAAGGGAAAGAATTCTTCATTTTTATTACACATTTGTAGATCAAAATTGGACTACTTTTTTCATAACAAGTTCCTTACCATCAGATAGTCCAAGCTCCCTACACACCACTGAGGCATCAATATCATTAAAACCATCATCACAGACAGTGCCCCAGGCTCCATTCATATATACTTCAAGCCTTCCTTCATAACTGCTGGCTCCACCAACAAGGCGTATTGGAGCTATAATAAAAAAATAATAATAATAATAATAATAATAATAATGACATTATTGATAAAGCTTACAGGAGCAGGATACTCCAGCATCCTCAGAGTGGCCGCAGTTGTGAGTGGTAATGTGAGAACAGCTGGTGAGGAAGGACTCTGTCCCAGAACAGGCGACGTCGTCAATCAATATGGACCCAGTACCCTCACCAAAATAAGCAGAACCACGAGCAATACCTTTTAAAAATAAAATAATAATAATATTTATAATAGTGTGATTTTAGCATTTCTCTTTAATCTATAATACTGTTGACTACTTAAACAATTGGTCCTTCCTATAACTTCACTATAACACACAGTCACTATAATGTCTACAAGTAATTTACCATCAGATAGTCCTAGCTGTCTACACACAACTGTGGCATCAATGTTATCCCAGCTATCATCACAGACAGTACCCCATGCTCCTCCAATAAACAGCTCAACTCTTCCTTCACGATAACTGCTGCCCCCAACAAGACGTAATTGTGCTATAGAGAAAAAGATGAAAGGTCATTCTCAAGATGAAGGTTAGTCTCGCCATGCCCCTTTGTAGCAAAGGGGCATGGCGAGACTAGATGAAGGTTTAAACTTACGAGCACAAACCACGCCGACGTCCTCATAATGGCCGCAGTTATGGCTACTGGTGTGGGAACAAGTGGCCAAGTTCAATTCGGACCCGGTACAGGCCACATCATCCATCAATATTGAACCAGAACCCTCACCAAAATATGCAGACCCCCTAGCAATACCCCCTAAAATAATAATGATCATTAATTATGAATGGATAAATAGTCCATGGTTGATCATAACTTACTGTCAGATAGCCCAAGCTCCCTACACACCACTGACGCATCAATATCATTAAAACCATCATCACAGACAGTGCCCCAGTGTCCGTTAACAAATACCTCAACCCTTCCTTCATAACTGTTGGCACCACCAGCAAGACGGATTGAAGTAGCTTAATAATAATAATAATGATAATAACGATAATAATAAATTGTATAATAATTACTTAGGCAGGTGACTCCAGCGTCTTCGCTGTGTCCACAGTTATGAGTTGAGATATGAGTACAGCTGCTGAGGGTATTCTCAGTACCTAGACACTGGACGTCATCCATTAGAATGGACCCAGTACC